GACTTTTTCCCGTCTTTAAGGCGGAGATAGCTTTGTTAATTTCTATATCCGAAATTTCAGTGGTCAGGGATTTATTGTGTTTTCTTCCGAGAGCGGGGAGGTCTAAAGATTTCAAGAAAATGTCAATTTTGTCAGGATTACTTTCACCACTGTGTTTATATAGAGAAGAATAATATTTTTCAAATACATTCTGAATTTTGTGCTGTTTGATTGTCAATTTATTTGATTTTGGATCTCTAATGTTATAAATTGATCTCTCTTCTTGTTGTTTACGTAGTCTCCAAGCTAATAATTTTGTTGCCTTTGGGCCGGCCTCATAGTACCTCTGTTTCCTATACAGTACCTGATATTCTTCTCTATGTCTTCACTATACAATTTGTCGATTTCCTGTTTGATAGGTTTCTTTGAATTCAATAGTGAAGGGTCTATAATTTGACTATGCTGCCTCTCAAGATCTCTCAATCTGTTTTCCAAGTCCTGTAGTTGTTTTTGTTTTTCGATTTCTCTAGAGAAGCAGCTTTAGAAATGAGCTTTCCTCTAAGATAGGCCTTGGCTGTGTCCCATAGAATGGGTGAACTGACTTCTCCATTATCATTATAGGATAAGAATTCCTTATAGTCTTCCAAAATGTCTTCTTTATTTTTGTCACTGTTGAAAATACTGATATTCATTCTCCAATTTGTTTTCTTTTTATGAGTGTCTAGATGTAACGTTAGTAGAGCCCTGCATGGTCAGAGAGGTCCCTTTGTCCAATTTTACATTCTTTCACTCTGTGAAGTTCACTGTTAAACATTAAGTAACAGTCATTTCGAGAATACATATTATGGCGGGCTGAATAAAAAGTAAAATCTTTCTCTCGACCATGCAGGCCTCGCCACACGTCCTTGAGACCAAGAATTCTGGTTGTTTTTCCCACCCAGGACTCAACAGCCGTCTTGATCCTTTTAGGATTTGTTGTGTCCAGTTTGTGGTCCATTATCATATTTAGATCTCCCACACACAACAAGGCACCACAATTCCCAAGTGCTATAAGATCAAAAACATTTTTAAAAAAGGATACCGGGCTTCCAGGGGGAGCATAGACGTTCACTAAAGTTACTGGTTTACCATCTATTTTCCCCCTAACAAGGATATATCGACCTTCTTTATCTTTGGTCTCGGAAATCAGCTCAAAATCGATCTTGTTCGAGATTAATATAGCAACTCCCCTTTTGTTTCCTGATCTATGTGAAGAAAAAAATGTTTTACTAAAGCCCAGCTTTTTAAGTTTGTTGTGTTTCCTGCCAGAATGCAATGTTTAGTGGATTGAAAGACGTGGAGTGGATTTTCGCCTACTCCGCTCTCTTCCAAGGCTAAAGACCATCCCCAGTATTAAAATCGAACTTTTTAATGCCCAGTCTCTGATAAATAAAAGTAGTCTTATACATGAACATATTCTTGATAAAAATATTGCCTAACTGAAACGTGGCATAAACCAGAGTCATATCTCGCCCTGAATGAGGCCTGTCCCCCTGGATACACTTACCTGGAGAAGGCTAGGACCACTGGACGTGAAGGAGGCTTGGCAGTGATACACCACAAAGACCTCCATCTACTATCCCTCCCTGTGCCAGCGTTATCCACATTTGAATACCTCTTATTCAAATGTATATCAAAAATAACAACAACAATAGTCCTTATTTACCGTCCACCTAAAATGCATTCAGGTTTCATCATTGAACTACAGGACCTGCTAGTATCACTCTGTGCAACATCCTCCAATACAGTCATACTTGGGGATTTTAACTTGCATGTTGACTCCCCCACAAACCAATTTGCTTGTGAGTTTCTCGAACTCTTGGACTGTCTCCATCTCAAGCAGCATGTAGAAGGGCCCACACACACGAAGGGGCATACCCTCGATCTAGTCATAACCGACACTGCCTCTATAACCAACCTTCAAGTCTATGACTTAGGTGTGTCTGACCATAAGGCCATTTCAATGGAGCTGTCCCTAAGATGCTCATGCTCCAGACCAAAGCGCCAAATACAGTTTAGAAACCTGAAAAAGATAGATTCTGCCTCCATAAACCAGGACATTCAAAAACTCTCCTCCTTCACTAGCTTTATATCAGTTAGTGAATCTGTTCAACATTACAACTCAGGCCTTCATAACATTCTTGACACCCATGCACCGTTAAAAACAAGAACAGTTTCTTTTCCCAGATCATCCCCATGGTTCACAGATGAGCTGAGAAAAATGAAAACGACTGGTCGAGCTCTGGAGCGGCAGTACCTGGCTAGCAGGCTGGTAGTACATAAAGAAGCCTATCGAAACCATCAAAAAGCCTATTCTAAAGCTCTAGCTACAGCCCGATCTCAATTCTATTCACACAAAATCACCAGTAATTCAGGAAATTCTACAAAACTATTTTCCACCATTAGCTCGCTCCTCAAACCCCGCATACACACAAACAGTGATACCAGTGAGGATCAGTGTAATAGGTTCATGGACTCTTTTACCAACAAGATTGATCAAATACGCTCTACCTTTCCTGCTCTGCCTCCCCTTCATCCAGGAAATATGCTTTTGGAGCCACAGTCCACATTCTCTCAATTTCACAGTATTATACAGACAGAGGTAGAGGGCGTCATGATGAACATGAGGGCCTCTACATGCTCTTTGGATCCACTGCCAACACCACTAATAAAAGCCAATATCCCTGCCATCAGTCCATTAATTACTGCAGTAATAAATCATTCATTACAATCTGGTGAAGTCCCGTCTGCTCTCAAAACTGCAGTCATTCATCCCCAATTGAAAAAACCCTCATTAGACCCTGAAGATCTGGCAAACTACCGACCAGTATCTAACCTACCGTTTTTATCCAAGGTCCTGGAGAAGGTTGTTGCAGCCCAGCTTCATCATCATCTTCAAACACATAATCTGTACAAAAAATTCCAATCAGGTTTCCGGTCAGCGCACAGCACAGAGACAGCCTTGGTGAGAGTCACAAATGACTTGCTGATGGCTGCAGATCAGGGCTCACCATCTCTCCTGGTCCTCTTGGATCTGTCAGCCGCTTTTGACACCGTGGACCATCATATCCTACTCCATCGGCTCCAGTCAGTTGTTGGCCTCACCGATAATACCCTAGATTGGTTCCGCTCATACCTCACAGGAAGAAAGGAGTGTGTCGCCCTGGGGGAGGCTAAATCGTTGCCCCACACAGTTACTTGTGGGGTCCCTCAAGGATCGGTCCTGGGGCCGGTCCTTTTTACAATCTACATGCTCCCCCTAGGCCAGGTAATCAGAAACCATCAAGCCTCTTTTCACTGTTACGCTGATGATACGCAGCTGTACATGAAAATTGACTCCACATCCTCCTCAGTCCCACCGGCCACACTCCACGCCTGCCTGGAGGAGATAAAGGCATGGATGACTAGCAACTTCCTCCAGTTGAATAGTAGCAAAACTGAAGCCATCTTGATTGGCACCCGGCACCAAATCCAGTCATCCACCATATCCAATATTCATGTTTCGGGCCATAACATTCCCCTTTCCTCCTCTGTTACAAACCTAGGGGTCAGATTTGATCCTCATCTTTCATTTGAGAATCATATCCGCCACCTCTGCAAAGTGTCCTTCCATCATCTACGAAATATTGCTAAACTCCGCGCCTCCCTCTCACAGACAGATGCTGAGAAATTGGTACATGCCTTTGTCTCCTCCAGGCTGGACTACTGCAATGCCCTCCTTGTCGGGATCCCTGGTAAGAGCCTGCTGAAGCTCCAGCACATCCAGAACTGTGCAGCCAGGATCCTGACGAGGAGGCGCAAGTATGACCACATCACCCCTGTCCTCCAGTCTCTACATTGGCTGCCCATCCATTACAGAATCCACTATAAAATCTGCCTCCTCACATACCAATGTGTCCATGGAACAGCCCCGACATACCTCACTGAGCTAGTTACTCCACACACCACCACAAGGCGCTTACGGTCCACTTCCACCCATACTCTTCACCAGCCCGTGACCAAGCTCTCCACAATGGGAGATAGGGCCTTTAAGGCAGTTGCCCCTAGACTCTGGAACGCCCTGCCAGAGACCCTGAGGGCTCCCCAGAGTGTTGAGGCCTTTAAAAAAGGCCTGAAAACACATTTATTTAAAAAGGCCTTTTAGTTTGTTTTTGCTCTGGTGCTTGCTTTGTTTTACTATGTCATGTTCATTTTGTTTTATCTGATTTTAATCTACCTGTTGTAGCACTTTGAGGTTTCTTTGAAATGTAAAGTGCAATATAAATAAAATTTATTATTATTATTATTATTGTTTATCTTTTCCTTCTTTAATTTAGCTATCATTTTACTACGTTTTATGGGACTGTTTAAACCATTAACATTTAAAGATAAAGTTTTATAGTATTGAAAGATTTTACTGATGTTATATCTTCATCCGCTGCATGTGATCTTGAGCTCTCTAGTGAATATAAACAAAAAGGAACAAAAACAAGGTACTGATCAATATGAAAAACAACTTCACAACTTAACAGGACTTCCATTAGAGAGGAAAAACAAGCTCCTCTAAAAACAGTGAGGGGAGACGGCCACAAGGTGGGGCCCCCAACTTATTCTACAAGTAGAAAAACAACTGCGGTGTTACCCCAGTAAGTATGGTGGGCATCTAGGACGCGCACTGAATCAGCCTTCTATTATAGATTCAAGTTACGGGATGACTTGTTAAACCATTAAGTAAACAAAAATTTAGGACTAAGGGGATTGTTCGAGATCAGATAACCAATACAGATGTACATGACTGTCCATTAATCTTACTTACACGGCGTAGACCGCATGATTAAAGTCCACAGTGTTCTTAAACATCTTCATTCTTCATGGCTGTTGTCCTCCTGCTCGGATCGCTGGAACTCACGCAGTCTCTCCCTGATGCTCTCCTGGTAGTCTACACCAGCGCGGCGCGGGCCCACGGTGCGCCACGGTAGAAGTTTAGACAGCGTATCAGCGTTATGGTCCGCTGGCTTCTTCGCTCGAATTGGCCCAACCGAAAACCCCTGTTCTCCAGCTCTGCGGCCACTGCGTGGGGATCATTACAGGTAACAGAACCCGTGTCAAAGTGAATGTGGATCCTTGTTAGCGGTGTCTGGAAGCGGATCTGGTTCTCTTTCAACAACTTTTTTATTGGGGCGTATTCCTTTATTCTCTGCTGTACATCTGTTGCATAGTCGTGATCAAAGAAGACGCGTTTTTTCTGGATGAACATCTGTTTTTTTCCATGCAGCCTGGAGGACCTTCTCCTTAGTTGTGTAAAGCGAATAACAATCGAGCGCGGTGGTGCGCCCGATGGTGGCTGTGGTCCCAGAGCTTGATGAGCCCGTTCTATTCCAAGGTCTGCGCCTCTTTGAATACCGATGCTCTCTCGTAGTTCATTCAATATGAAGCTCTCAATTAAAGCTGGCATTGACGTTGACGTTCCCTCCGTTTTCTCTGCAATACCGTAGATCCTAATGTTGTTACGCCGAGAGCGGCCCTCCAAGTCTGACATCTTTGATTGTAAATCTCTCTGGTTGTTAATGAGGTCAAGTAAAGTGTCCCTCACGGCCAAGTCCAGCCGCCAGGTTATCCGAATTGGAGTTTGAATCCAATTTCTTCTCCATAATTCCCTTCCCAGACCTTCTTTGCCTATCCCCGGTCATTTTCAGAGTACATCCGTGTTTGTCTAGTTGTAGAATCTTCGAATTTTGGGGATATATTGGCTGAATTCAGAGCCGCTTCATTTTACACGTCCATTCAGCTCGACGCCACCGGAAGTCTCCCAGGTGCATGCATTGTTAACCTCACTTGAACCAGTCTAGCACAGGGCAGCGGTGGCTATGGAGAGAATGAATAGTGCCTTGTGTTGGAGTGTCCAAAAAGTGCCATTTAAAACCAATTAAGTTTTTGTAAATATTATTATAAAAGTCCAAAATGTTAAAATCAGGAGTGTGTACTTTATTCCCTCCAGCAAAAGAAGTCAAGTGTAAGAGAAGTGAGACCACTGCTGTGCTGTTTATGTGTAGTCACATAAACATCTGTAGTTTATTTGCCCTGTTCTCGGAGGAGCAGACATATTAACAGGTACTGTTGGGGGGCAGAACTCTGTGTGGTTTTTAACAGCTCATGATTACTCTGGAGAGGAGAGCCCGTAATTAGAACCACAAATGATTTCACGCCCCTCACCCCACAAAGTGCTTCTACCCTAATCGCAGGGAGGCACACACGGGATGTAGTGCAGGCCGTGCAGCAATGAGAGCCTGTACAAAAAAGGTACAAAAAAAGGTTTTCCCTTTTTTCTCTGCCTTTCTGGCTTTTTTCTTCTTTTTTTTTCTGTGGTCCCAAAAACAGAATATAAACTCAAATAAATATAATTGATGATTGAATTATTGTATTAATGGCATTGGATTATAAGTACAAAGCCATTCATACCCTTTGTCATTTTTCAACAACAAGTTAGATATTTATTGGCATTATTACAATCATCCATCCATCCATTTTCTTCCCCTTAATCCATTTCTGGGTCGGGGGGGTGGCAGTCAGAGCTGCTCTAGCATCTTTTCAGTTGTTCTGCGTCTCACAAACGTTCTTTTTTGTGATCCAAACACCTCAAACTTGGATTCATCCGTCCACAACACTTTTTTCCAGTCTTCCTCTGTCCAATGTTTGTGTTCTTTTGCCCATCTTAGTCTTTTTATTATATTGGCCAGTCTCAGAAATGGCTTTTTCTTTGCCACTCTGCCCTGAAGCCCAGCATCCCGCAGCCGCCTCTTCACTGTAGATGTTGACACAGGTGTTTTGCGGGTACTATTTAATGAAGATGCCAGTTGGGGACCTGTGAGGCGTCTGTTTCTCAAACTAGAGACTCTAATGTACTTATCTTCTTGGTCAGTTGTGCAGCGTGGCCTCCCACTTCTTTTTCTACTCTGGTTAGAGCCTGTTTGTGCTGTCCTCTGCCCACTAAACATCCGACGTCCACTCAACCTCCAGATCACGTCAATATCGCGTCGGTCGGTCGTGACCTTTTATTTACGTCCAAACGACGTCTGTGCAAGGTGCGCATCTGGACGTAAAACAATGACCTCCCATATACGTGGATATGACGTTCAATCCCGACCTCCCTTAGACGTCGAAAACAGGTCATCGGCTGACCGACGCAGTCGTCTTGATCTAGCAATACAATATATAGGCTGTGAAGCGGTGCAAGTGTACCTGACGGTAGTGTAGTGGTTAAGCAAATGTGTGCAGCCTTGGTTACGTGAGTTCGAGCCCACGTGTGTGTATTATTATCTTTACATATTTGTTTTGATTTTTAACGAACAATTTTTTTCTGTTTGGTTAAAGACTAATAAACACTCAACATAGGATTACGTAGTGGCTAATAATAAAACTTGTGAATGTATGCATTTGTTGTGCTAACAATCTCAAGTTTGCAAATAAGGGGTGAGCACTTGAGATTGTATGCAAATGCATGGGTTCACAAGTTTTATTATTAGCCACTACATAATCTTATGTTGAGTGTTTATTCGTTTTTAACCAAACAGAAAAATTGTTCGCTAAAAAGTAAAATGTCAAAAGTTTTCCGACGGGGATTTGAACCTGCGTCGTTGGGACTGAAGTCTCATTACGCAACCGCTACACCACGGCCAGGCATTTATCCAGACTACTGTGACAAAATAATACATAACACCCTAAACAACCGACGCACACTTATGCGCCGCGCGAGTATAACTTAGGCTTTACAGCCTGACACGTGAGTCGCTCGGTCGAGGACCTGTTTTCCACGTCTAAACGACGTAAGGTGTGCATCTGGACGTAAAGTAATGCCTTTCCAGACATTGATATGACGTTGAATCTGTACCTCTGTCGCTGCCCTGCTTTATTTAGCTACTTGGAATCACCCTCTCTAGTAAGTACACAGTCTGCACAGTTTTTAGATATAGATGTATCATTTCCACATTGAAAAGAGTTGGAGACAGAAAGTAAGTTGTTTTCTCACGTATACGTGGATTTTGTTAAGTATATTTTGTATATTATCTGTATTTTGAATTCGGGCGTTCTGCTCTCCCAAAATTTCATCCACTGAGCGGCGCTGTGATCAAAAAATGACACCGTTTGTTGCCCAGTTCACTTCCGGTTGATTTCATACAATGGCGAATATGGCTCACGAAAACAACAAACGATTGACAGTGCCTGAATTGCGTGAAAGGTTGAAGCGAAAGGGTATTTGCAGTGTGGGAAAACGAAAGGAGGAATTGTTGTTGCTAGTTCAACGAGCGGATAGTGTTTATGAAGATTTAGAAGAAGATGACAGCGAGCAGAGTGAACGAAAACGGCTGTGTGTGCGAGTGACAGATGGTAACAATGAGAATGAAGTTCAGCTAAGAGGGAAGAATGTGAATTGGACGGATGATTTGCGCGATATGCCACTAGTTAGAGACGGGAATGTATTTGCATACAGAAAATGACGAAAACGCTCAACCATTTAGAGAAAATGCGCCGGGCAGAGAGAACCGGAAGTTGCGAAGGCAAGTGTTACCCATAATGCAACGCAAAATTCAGTCGCTCCCCCGCCCATCGGATGGAATTTTGGGAGAGCAGAACGCCCGAATTGCCAGTGCATGAATCTATTGAGAGTGAGGAGCTGACGTCATAGCACAGAGCCCCTCCCCGTCTCCGCCATGTTGGTAGGAACCCAGCGGCAAACACTTGTTGTTGTTAACTCGGTAGCAAAGGAGGTCGTCGCTATTTCTGTTTTACCATGCCTGGAGCTCATTGCTGTGTGAAAAACTGCTCCAGTACCTCACACAATAAGAAAGGAAAACGTAGGAACAACGGTTTACAATTTTTTTAGGCCACCAAAATGGATACAACATCAGGGAGCGCAAGTGTCTGACCTGACGAAGAGACGCCGGATGGCTTGGTTGGCTGCAATAAGAAGAAAGGGACCTTACTTTCGATCTCACCCCCAGTCGATGAGAGTGTGTTCTCTGCATTTTCACTCGGGTACGTCCTAAAATGTCTTTATGTTGTTTTTTTAAAGTTAAGAAGTGTAGGTTACCTAGCTGTTAATGTTGCAAACTCTGAAGTGCATCTTAAGTTAGCTGCCTAGCTAACTATCTAACAAACTGTTGCCTCTATGAAAATGCTTAATGGCCAACCATTAATGTTAACTAAGAATATTTAAGTTTCTGCTCATTATCCTACCTTGTTGGTGGAATATGGGCACTCAAAGTGCGTTTGTCTCTGTCTCTTATGTTCTCTAAACCAGTGGTGCCCAAACTTGTTTTTTGTCTTGTGTTTCCACTACCCCCTGAGCCCTTTTATGAAACCATTAATAGCGTTACCTTCTTGTTTAATATTTCTTTAGATTCCAGATTGTTTAATAATCTTATTAATCTGATGTAAGTAAACCATTATATGAGATTGCTAAAAATAGTTGAGATTCTGTTCATGACATTATGCTACCTTGTTGCCAGTTTAAAGCATTGACTACATAGATTATTCTGTTCTAGGTAAACCATCATATGAGATGTTGGAGAATCACCCTGACTGGACACCATCCTTGCGGTTAGGCCACAATAATGTTAAAGAAACAGATGGAGCGCGATATCAGCGGCAAGTAAAGCGCAGTACCCAGCATCTGGAGCAGTCATCACTCCCAGCCCAAGCCCAGCAGCCTCCATCGCCAGCCCAAGCCCAGCAGCCCCCATCGCCAGCCCAAGCCCAGCAGCCTCCATCGCCAGCCCAAGCCCAGCAGCCTCCATCGCCAGCCCAAGCCCAGCAGCCTCCATCGCCAGCCCAAGCCCAGCAGCCTCCATCGCCAGCCCAAGCCCAGCAGCCCCCATCGCCAGCCCAGCAGCTGCCTCAAGGAAGGATGAGGAAGCTCTCACCCTTCCAGCTTGTCCTATTGACTGTAATGCGCCTCAGATTAGACCTTCCATCTCAGAATTCACGTTGAGAGGGTGATTGGTGTTGTGCGCAACAAATTCAAATTCTTACATTCAACTGTACCTGTGCATATGCTTCTCAAATGTGAGGGTGAAAACCTAATGCCTTTAGATAAGATTGTCACTGTTAGCTGTGCCTTAACGAACATGTGCAAAAGTGTTGTTTGAGTGCCTTGTTCATAACTTATGAACCAACCAGAACCCCTCATGTCATCTGGATCCGAGTCCAGAGTCAGAACCAGACACGGAGAAGCTGCATTCAGCTTCTATGCTCCACATGTCTGGAACAAACTCCCAGAAAGCCTCAGATCAGCTGAAACACTCAGTTTGTTTACATCCAGGTTAAAGACCCACCTGTTCTCAGCTGCTTTTGAATATTTTTTATTCTAATGTACAAATCTGCACGGCTTCTTTTAATCTGGAATTACTTATCTGTTATCTTTTTCCTATGATTTTTTGTTTTTAAGTTAAAGTTTAAAATATGATATTGTTTTTCATATTTCAAACTATTTTTAACACATTAGAATTCTTAGGTTAGACTGTCCAACAAACTATGTGTTAAAAAAGGTTAAGATTCTTGAGTTTTAAAATAATAATTCAATTCTAAAATGTAAAGTTACTGTATATTTCACAATGGTTTATAAACTGCAAAAAGACAACAGTACTTAGTAAACTAAGTTTAAAAACAGGGAGATCAGCTTTAATATTTGGGACACTCCCATCATTTAGACACCTGTGATGTCATCAGTTGGAGTTGAGTTCAGGTGTGGGACCATGTGGGACCATGTGGGACCATAGGAGCACACAGATGTTACCTGCTGCAGAAAGAGAGTTTAATGTTCATGTATTGCTTTGTTTAATAAATGGATTTAATGTCTTCCCAGGTCTTCAATGTCAGAGACTTTCACTTCTTCTCACTGTGGCTGTTCAAATGAGCCACTACAGTCGTTATTTTTGTTATTGTTAGCTGCAAATATTAAATATCCATTCATCTGCTGGTAGCAAGCTAACTAGCGCTTGCAACTCTATTCAATTTCTTACTTTTTCTTATAAACATTAAAACCAGCCATATGATAATTAAAATACATTTACCTTTGCTAATGCAGTCAATTTTTTGTGAAATCCATAGAGTATAATTTCATGATTGTTGCAATAACTAATGTTCTATGTGTATTCCTAATGTGTCATGTGTGTTTGAGTCTTACAGGTGTCAGACTGTGTTGAAGGTGTTCAAAGGTAAGAATCACACTCTCACACATTGATTGTTGTTCTGTATTAATATGTTGTTTTTAGAATAAACCATTATTTGGTGTATTCTCTTTGAAAACATCTATCTTTTTCTCAGATTGTTCAGCAACTCACTCATGATGAGGGAAAAGAGCAACAAGGGGAAAATGCCCGCTCGGAAATGCGACATGTGTAGAGTAATACAGGGTAAGTAGCTTTCAGGGCTCATTTGTGTCCATGTGCAAAACAAATGCACATTTGCAATTGTTTTTTTTACATGGAATTACTCCAATGACCAAAGCCTTATCCCAAGTTTCTCAGACGGAGTGTCTTCCAGTGTCTCGAGCTAGTGCAGTGCCAAGGTTTGTATCACATGGTGATGGATCGAGTGGTTTGAGGCATTAATAGAAAGTTATGTGTTGTTATATCACTTTGCCACATTATGTTGAAACTAAACATGTTCCACATTTCAGGTGCTGTGCTTGGACCTTGTGATGAGAGACTGAAGACCAAGAGAGGACACATGTTGGAACATCAACATTCAATAAATGCATTCTTCTGCCTTTCAGATTGTGTTTTTACATCTGGGGAACCTAGAGTGTAGCTTGTGCCTGTTTTAATACTGATCCAAACATAGGCGCTACAATCATGTTTTTTTACTTTGGCATGAACTGTTCAGTACAGTAGTGTTCATAACACTGTGCCCTGTGTGGATTAACTTGTACTTTGATGTAGAGAAACATGATTTTTAATGCAGCTCCATTTGCAATAATGACTGATATCCTTCTACTACAGTTGTTCTAATGATTTTTGAATGCTGTGTTTATCGTTTATTGCCCAGAGTCAGAACTAAACATGATATAGCTGCATTTCAGATTCACAAGGCTAAAATCTGGAACGGTCTTCCTGGAAATGTGAGACAGGCTTCTTCTTTGACAATGTTAAAATCCAGGTTTAAAACACTTCTGTTTCTGCTTCAACTGAGAGATTTTTTGAGAGATTTTATTTGTATCTTTTTAATTTACTGTCAATATTTATAATTGTAATGCCTTGTTTGATTGTTTCTATCTTTTGTTCAGTGCTTTGAGTTTCCTTTTGTTTTGACTGTGCTATACAAATAAACTTGCCTTGCCTATTGCAAAAAGTATGTCTCGACTATTAAGTCATTCTACAGAGGTCAATAGGACTGTAAATGGACGTCATATAAACGTCAATATTTTGGTCATATAAGACGTCGAGAGGACGTCGGACCCGACTGGTTCTGTACCACATTACAACCTTGAATTAACGTCCAGATGACGTTGGAATTACGTTGTTTTGACATCTGCTTGCTTAGTGGGAACGACTGAAAACGAACGTCATATAAACGTGAATATTTTGGTCATATGAGACGTTGATAGGACGTCAGACCCGACCGGTTCTGTACCACATTCAAACCTTGAATTGACGTGCCATCAACGTAACATTTGGAGGTTGAGGTGACGTCGGGAAACGACGTCGAGAAAACTTTCATTCTGCACCCACCAGTGACCTATATTCTACGTCGGACAACGACGTTCAAATTACGTTGATTCAACGTCGGCTTGCTTAGTGGGTGAAGGGAGTAGTACACACCTTTGTAGGAAATCTTCAATTTCTTAGCAATTTCTCACATGGAATAGCCTTCATTTCCAAGAACAAGGATAGACTGTCGAGTTTCAGATGAAAGTTCTCTTTTTCTTGCCATTTTGAGCGTTTAATTGACCCCACAAATGTGATGCTCCAGAAACTCAATCTGCTCCAAGGAAGGTCAGTTTTGTAGCTTTTGTAACAAGCTAAACTGTTTTCAGATGTGTGAACATAATTATTTATTTATTTATTGCATAAGGGTTTTCTAATCATCAAATTGCCTTCTGAGCCAATGAGCAAACACATTGTACCATTAGAACACAGGAGTGATAGTTGCTGGAAATAGGCCTCTATACACCTACAGTACATATTGCACCAAAAAACAGACATTTGCAGCTAGAATAGTCATTTACCACATTAGCAATGCATAGAGTGTATTTCTTTAAAGTTAAGACTAGTTTAAAGTTATCTTCATTGAAAAGTACAGTGCTTTTCCTTCAAAAATAAGGACATTTCAATGTGACCCAAACTTGTGAATGGTAGTGTATATATTATTGCTGTCCATTGAACGCATTAAAGGAACAATATGTAAAAATCTGGCCAAAAGTGGTACTGCAGTTACAGTCAATATTTTGTAGTCCTCTCCCACTCTCCCTGACTCAGGTTGCCAGATACACACCAAATCCAGCAGCAAACACAGGGAATTATTTTATCAGTTGTTTGTCCGTCTCCATTCACATTGCCATGACAGCCGTGTGTTATTGGAATGTAACTTAAGTTATCATTTTGGTAAATCATGTGGCTATGTGCTGACGGCTCTGTATTGTAATTCACTTTAGCTTCAGGCAAGGGCGTAGGTTTGCGTGGGGACCATGGGGACATGTCCCCACCAATATTTGGTGAGGACTAAAAAGTCCCCACCAAAATGACATGATGTCCCGTGACCCGGACGGTCCGGGACACATGTCTTCCGTTTGTGCATACGTCGCGCCTCCTCCTCGCCTCCAGAGCAACAGCAGCAGCAGCAGCAGCACGTGACCCGTTCCGTTCTCTGCAGTGATTGGCTGTCTTCTTCAGCGCCAAACTGAAGCACTGAGCAACTGTTTAATTTTTAAAAGTTAGCCAGCGTGAAGCAAGTGTTTTTTTTTGTTCCCTGAGCGTTGTAGCACGTGAGTAATCAGAGGAAAGTACTGTAGATCTATTACCATTCAAAGTACTTACGTTATTTCTAATCTGTCAGCGCACTGTTTAATGTTCCGAGGAGCTCACACGGCACAGAGACAGAACAGAACTGGCTCCAATAAAGAAACAGGTTGGTTGAAAGGCTGAAAAAATACTTATTGTGCTCTTACTATCCAAAATGTATAAGTGGGTGTGTTGTGGGAATCAGGATAAACTAGGGATAAAAATATTCCACGGATCCACGATTTACAACCTTTATCTGCTGATAATGTAATTTCTGTGAAATGTGTGACAGCGGGCACTTGCTGTTATTTGCTCTAAGTCTAAGCACATTCAAGCAATGCACTCGAATGTGCACGTCCTGGTGCAGCTGCTGCCGCTTTGTAATGACAGCCGCGGCGCTCAGTGAAAGCACAGCTCTAACATGGTACTGAGCTCGGACCATATGCAGACAGAACCATGTTGCAAGTGCGGGTCTCCCTCGTATCTCCCCCGTTTCTCCCCTGTGTCTCTGACATGTCTCTCCCCTGACTCTTCCCAAAGCGCAACCAGCGCTCCCGAAATTAAAGCTCGGATACCTAAATTTTCCATTGCGTTAACGATGCATGCTGGTTGTGCGCAAAACACACCACAACAGGTCATTTAAGTTTTTATTTTGCATACTTGAGAGCCCTGTGACTCATTACTTGCCTTTTTAGGTTGAGAATGGAATTTAAAAAAAGAAAATATAGAAAAATCCACACTTATTGCCAAACTCTTGTTAACTCATTGTATTGAGAAATACTATGTAACTTTTGACATTGGCCAAGTTATATAAATGATTCTGCAGTTCATGTATATGAATGTCTGTTTTTGATTTTCTATACCTTCTTATATAATTTAGAAAAAATGCCACCTCCACAAAAAAAGATAAAAGATATCAGGAGCTTTTTTAACAGTTGGAAAGTAAGTAAGAGAAAGCACAAGTAATAGCAAATTATGAATTGTGATGATTAATCTTCTGTTAACATACATAGGAAACTCAACCAACAAGAGAGAACAATATAGGGAATGTTGAGGTAGAAGCAACAGGCCCTTCAGTGCATCAGGTGAGGTTGGAATTTTGTAGGTATGCATGGGACTATGAATTGTTTTAGAGATTGATCGTATATATGTCAAACAATGTAGTGAGATACTCACTGTAGATTCTAATTCAATCTTTTCTCCTCTGTTTTTATTTATTATAGGAAATTGAAAGATCAGAGCATGATTTATTTCAAGTATCGAGAGCAGTTCCTGAACTGTTAGAGCCTCAGGTGAGGGCTATTATGTAGATTTGGATTAGGTTTAAGTCAGTATAGAATGAACGCAACACAAAACTCAGAAGCTCTGATCCAATTGATTTTGTTTTAACTATTAGAAAAAATCCTTAACTGCTTCTCATTCAGTCTACAGCTGAGTTTAGTATAGAAGGCAACACACTATTGCAAATATAGTGTGTGATTACACAACAAATTCTGGGGGAGAAACTCTGGACCCCGTGTCAATGGGTGTAGACTCAGGTCGTAGTGAATGTCCCCACCAAGATTGGAACCAAACCTACACCATTGGCTTCAGGAAGACACCGGGAGGTCTGGGGAGCTCATATGCTAAGTGTCTTTTGTTGTGTTGGTTTCTTCCTTTCCCATCTGCATACGAAGGTGTGTCTTGCTCTACCAAAAGGGGCTTGTAGTCTGTGGATCTTCAGACTTGTCCTGAGAGAGGCTGGGGTCTGTGCCTTGCCTCTGTCAAGACATTCTCCTTGTACAATGTAACAAGTAAAAGATTAACTTTGTCTCTTTGTTGTTTGAGATTTCATCAGGTTCAACTGTGGTTGAAACAGCATTATCACTTGGTCCTTCGAATCCGGATCCCAACACTTCTTACAGGAGCTGAGCTTGTCTCAAACATGGACTTCCAGGAGCAACAACAAGGCCTTCTGCATTCGGAACTGCATTGGAACTCCAGGTTTGAGGCAAGACAGCCCTGGGTTGGAGTCGACGGGAGAACTAGAGTTTTTTCCTGATGAAATTGCAACAAAGGCAAGTTTCTAAACACTAAATTATGTCCAAAAGTAATCCAGGAAGTAGTGTGAAGTTCACATGAACACATTCATTTAGGAAAACGCAGAAATTGTGCCTTAGTCTAGGAATTTATTACACTACGAATTATGTCCAGGACTAATTCAAGAGAGTAGTGTGGAGCTCGAATGAACCGGTGTTTCAGGAGAATTGAATTACTTCAGACTGAACTTCTACATTACTTCTAAACTGAAATTGGACATTTATAGACATCTAAATAAGCTAAATTGAAATTGGATGTTTAAAGACCTTTAAATTACTCAAAATTTGGAATTGGACATTGTAAAAAGACTTAAAAAATAGTTAAATTGCAAGCATTGTGTAGGGCGGCCATTTTGGGTGGCCATGTGGTCCTTTGTCCTCTGTCCATGTGTTTTCTTTGTTTGTCTTCGTCCTTCTTTGTCTCGTGTGTTCTTCCTTTGTCCATGTGTTTTATGTGTTTAAGTGTTTGTCTGTTTAAGCTCAAACTAAACTGACAAAACAAACTCACTAACTAGAACAAAATTTAGAGAGAGAGAGAGAGAGAGAGAGATAGGAGTTAGTTTTTCAGCTGGGGAAGAGAAAGTTGAATAAGAGGGAAAAAAATACATTGGGAAGAGATTTTAC